CCTGAAACCTGGAAGGAAGCTTATATTACTCTGATTCCCAAACAGGGTCAAGATAGATCCAATGTTAAGAACTACAGACCAAACTCCCTACTTAATGTCGATTACAACATTTTTGCAAATATATTGGCTAGCAGGCTAAAGAAAGTTTTATCTAAGCATATCCACAAGGACCAGGCAGGATTCTTGCCTGGAAGGCATATGAAAGATAATATTAGAAATGTTGTGGATATTTTGGAAAAGTTGGAAGCAAGAAAGAGCTGTAAAGCAATGTTGATGTTTATTGATGCAGAGAAGGCCTTTGACAATGTATCCTGGAGTTTTATGCTACATAACTTTGAAAGTATGGGGGTTGGTCAAGACTTTTTAAATGGTATTAAAGCGATCTATCAAGAACAAAAAGCTAAAATTATTGTAAATAATGTGGTATCAGAGGAAATCAGAATACAGTGGTACCTCGGGTTACATACGCTTCAGGTTACATACGCTTCAGGTTACACACTCCACTAACCCAGAAATAGTGCTTCAGGTTAAGAACTTTGCTTCAGGATAAGAACAGACTTCCGGAACGAATTAAAGTACTTAACCCAAGGTACCACTGTAGAGAAGGGAACCAGGCAAGCGTGCCCACTTTTCCATCTGCTGTTTATTTCAGTCCTAGAGGTCTTGCTAAGTATGATAAGAAAAGATGAAGAAATTAAAGGTATTACAGTAGGATCCAAACAAGAAAAATTAAAAGCCTTTGCTGATGACTTAGTATTGACACTACAAGACCCACTCCAATGCAGTAAAAGCACTGGAGCTGATACAGGAATTTGGACAGGTAGCGGGATTTAGGTTAAACAAGAGCAAAACCAAAGTATTAGAGAAAAATATGGACAATGATGAAAGAAAACTTCTACAAGAAAAGACGGGCCTAGATTTTGTGAAAAAAGTTAAATATTTGGGGGTGAACCTGTCTGGGAAAAATCTGAACTTGTACAAAGATAATTTTGAGAAATTGTGGAATGAAATTAAGAGAGATTTGGAGATATGGTCAAACTTAAAATTGTCATTAATGGGCCGGATTTCAGTGGTTAAGATGAATATGTTGCCAAAGATGCTTTCTTTGTTTCAAGCCCTCCCAATTATAGATAATGCGAAATGTTTTAAAGAATGGCAGAAAGCTTTATCTAGATTTATCTGGCAGGGGGGGGAAACCCAGAATTAAATACAAATTACTTACGGATTCTAAATTACTTGCATGGCAACTAAGGAAATGTCAAAATCAGAACATAATAAACAAAATAATAATAATAATAATAATAATAATAATAATAATAATAATAATTTATTTATACCCCACCCATCTGGCTGGGCCTCCCCAGCCACTCTGGGCGGCTTCCATAGAAACCAAAAATACAGTAAAATATCACACGTTAAAAACTTCCTGAACAGGGCTGCCTTAAGATGTCTTCTGAATGTCAGGTAGTTGTTTATCGCTTTGACATCTGCTGGAAGGGCGTTCCACAGGGCGGGCGCCACTACCGAGAAGGCCCTCTGCCTGGTTCCCTGTAGCTTTGCTTCTCGCAATGAGGGAACCACCAGAAGGCCCTCGGCGCTGGACCTCAGTGTCCGGGCAGAACGATGGGGGTGGAGACGCTCCTTCAGGTATACTGGACCGAGGCCGTTTAGGGCTTTAAAGGTCAGCACCAACACTTTGAATTGTGCTCAGAAACGTACTGGGAGCCAAACTGAGGACCCAGAAGAAATAAGGAAAGCTTTTCACGGTTTCTATAAGGAACTGTACAGGAAAGAAAATGAAGATTTAAGGAGAATGGAAAAATACCTGGAGGCATATAAAGGGAAACAAATACCAGCAGAAGAAAGGGAACAATTAAATAATCCAATAACAATGCAAGAGATTCAAAATGCAATTAAAAAAATGAAACAAGGTAAAGCCCCAGGACCTGATGGACTCACTACCAAATATTATTAGACTCTTAGTGGACAGTTGACTACAGTTCTCTGTGAGGTAATGAACAATATTTTACAAGGAGGAAAAATCCTGAATACTTGGAAAGAGGCATAAATAACACTAATCCCTAAACAAAAGGTTGATTGCTTAAACGTCAAGAACTTTAGACCAATATCATTGTTGAATAATGATTATAAGTTATTTGCAGAAGTGTTAGCAAATAGATTAAAACAAATCTCTTTTTTTCAAGTAATTTTTTATTGTTTTCCTTACATATTCTTTTCCAACAAACCATATTAATGCCATACATTCCCTTTGACTCTGCCGAGTCACGACTCCCCTCCCTCCCTGCAATTGGTATATTTAACCCCTTTCTATCACGCACATTCTCACAATAGTACTATTATACATTGAAGGTATTATGTCAATCCTGCTAGTGTCTTGACCTCTTTGCAATTCTCCTTTAAATATTCAATAAATTTACTCCAATTATTTTGGTATCTTTGGTCTTCCTGGTCCCGGATCCTCCCTGACAATTTGGCAAGTTCTGCGTATTCTGTCAACTTCACCTGACACTCCGGGATGGTTGGTATGTCTTGTGTTTTCCATCTTTGGGCCAGGAGGGTTTTTGCGGCGGCCATAGCGTACATGAACAGATTTTGGTCTCCCATTTTGATTTCCATTCCTATTAAACCTAATAGACACGCTTCCGGTCTTTTGGGGAAAGTATACCTAATTTTTTTTTGAGTTTATTATAAATTGATTCCCAAATTTTTTTAACCTTGTCACAGGTCCACCACATATGAAAATAATCCCCATCTACTTTTTTACATTTCCAACATTTTCTTTCTCTTTTTCTATACATTTTAGCTAACTTTACTGGCACCAAGTGCCATCTATACATAATTTTTAACAAGTTTTCCTTTAGAGCCATACATCCTGTAAATCTCAAACCCTCCTTCCATAGTCTTTTCCACACTTCAAATTCAATGTTATGCCCAATATCGATTGCCCATTTTATCATTGATTCCTTTACTTCTTCGTCTTTTGTATACCATTCAAGCAATAAACTAAATATTCTAGATAAAGTTTTACCTTTACACTCTATTAACTCGATTTGGATTTTTGATTTTTTGTCTTCAAACCCATTACTCTTTTTATCTTCATTTAATAAGTCACTAATCTGGTGATATTGTAGCCACCCTGTTAGCATCTTTCCAATTTGTTCATATGGTTTGAGCTTTATCCTCTGGTCTGTTTTCCTGGTAATATCCTCATATGTTACTCTTTTCCCTTCCATATTTACTTTTCTCGTTGTCAGCACCTCAATTGGTGATATCCACCACGGTGTTCTTCTTTCCAGGAGGTTTTTATTCCGATCCCATACTTCATATAAAGATTTTCTAACCACATGGTTCAGGAAACCCTTATGTACTTTTACTTTGTTGTACCATACGTACGAATGCCAACCATATCTATTGTCATGGCCCTCTAAGTCTAATAGGTCAGTATTTTCCAGAGTCAGCCATTCTTTTAGCCATACCAAGCAAGAAGCTTCATAATATAAAGTCAGGTCCGGTAAATCAAAACCTCCTCTCTCTTTCTTATCTACTAATATCTTCATTTTTATCCTTGGCTTTCCCCCCTGCCAAACAAATTTCGATAATTTTTTTTGCCAATCCTTAAATTGTCTTGTCCCTTTAACCACTGGTATTGCTTGAAATAGAAATAACAGTCTGGGTAAAATATTCATTTTTATCACAGAGATTCTACCTAAGAATGACAATTTTAATCTACTCCGTATATCTATATCCTTCTTAATTTCTTTCCATACAGTCTCATAATTATCTTTATACAGATTTATATTTTTTTGTTGTCATCCAAATTCCCAAATATTTTACTTTTTTAGCTATCATAATTCCTGAGTCTATTTGTAGTTCTTCCGTCTCTTCTTTCTTCATATTTTTTACTAGCATTTTGGTCTTGTTTTTATTGAGTTTGAACCCTGATACCTTCCCGAACTCTTCCATTCTTTTTATCGCCTCCTTTACACTTTGTTTTGGTTCTTCCAATGTTAAGGCTAGATCATCTGCGAAACTCTTACTTTAAATTCTTTTCGTCCCACCTTAATGCCTCTGACCTCTGGTGACTCTCTTAGATTCTTATTTAAGACCTCTAGGAGTGTAATAAATAACAAGGGAGACAGAGGACACCCCTGCCTAGTGCCTTTAGTTATCTCAAAATTGTCTGACATGTTATTATTGATTATTAGTTTTGCTTTTTGATCCGAATAAATCATATCGATGCCTCTCAAAAAATTTTCGCCAATTCCTAATACTTTTAAGTTTTCTTTCATAAAGTGCCAGGATACATTATCAAACGCTTTTTCCGCGTCTATGAACATTAGTACTGCCTGCTTCTCATTTCTCACTTCGAGATACTCAATTATATTTATCAAATTTCTTACATTGTCCCTCAGTTGCCTCCCTGGCAAAAAGCCTGCTTGGTCTTTATGTATAGCCTTATTTAGCACCATTTTTAGTCTATTCGCTAATATATCCGCAAATAGCTTATAGTCGTTATTCAATAACGAAATTGGTCTAAAATTTTTTACATCTAGTATGTCCACTTCTTTCTTTGGGATCAATGTAATATAAGCTTCTTTCCAAGTGTTTGGCATAGCCATTTCCGACTTCGGAGGAGAGGGGGTTGCGGGCGACCCCCTCCCACACGGGGGGGCGGACCTTTTGCCCCCGCGAGACCCAGGGAATCCCCGGGCGTGCCTGCGACCCGATCCGCCAATCGGCGGCCCGGGGAGGCGTGGCCTTGGCTACTTAAGGCCAGGCACGCCCGTGGACCGCCCTCTTTCCCCTCGCCAGCTGAGCGGATATTTTTGGAACGGATATTTTGGAGCTGATATTTTCATTTTGGAGCGGATATTTTGGAGCTGATATTTTTCATTTTGGAGCGGATATTTTCTGAGCGCATCGTAATTCCCTTACCTCGCTTCGTGTCCCTGATCTTTTTCGACTGCGCGGCGGATAGCATGGAGCCGCGGTCTGTCTGCGGGAGAGCTTGTTCGGCAGCAACGCAAAAAAGAGCCGAGTTCACTTTTCTTTCTGCGGCAGGCGCGGCAGCCCGGGAGACCCAGTCGTCACAGCGTTGGCGACGCTGTTCCCCGCCTGTTGCCGAGCGCTCGTGCTTTTCAGCGCACCCCTCTGCACATGGTGTTTTTCACTGGGGATTCAGCGCCGCGTGCCCACGTTCCAAGGGAGGATCCCGGACGGACGGAGCTCGGAGCGCGGATAACCTGGGAGCTGGAGGTTTGGCTGCTTCGTTCTCTCTTTCATACTCTGCTGCTGCTTCTATCTCTGCTGCTTTGAGGGCCGTTTCTGGCTTCCGTTTGGCCGCGGGGACCGCCCGATTGTTTCTGATAGTACAGGGAGAAGCGCGATCTTGCCGGGGGTAGCGTTTATTTGTCGCTGGGGCAACCGCCGCTTCCGGAAGCCATTTTGGTCGAACACGTGGTGCGGGCTCGGTGCGTCCGCCATTTTAGGTGAGGCTATCAGCCTACAGCCCCGATAGCAGGCGCCATCTTGTTAGGGGCCACGTGCAGGCCCGAGCAGCCATCTTGGGAAGGACAGGCGCCATCTTGCTGAGGGTCAACGAGGCAGCCACGAGCAGCCATCTTGGGAGGGCTGAGATACTCTCCCTTTTCCGCACCCCGTTCGCAAGCGAGACAGCCTCGGCGCCCCTGCTGGTGGGTCGTTATCTGCCTGCCCTCCAAGTAAGGGCTTGCTGGCTTCCCCAAATTTTTCATATATCTTTATTCTTTCCAGCGTGTTACAGGGCTTCGTTCCGGGCTGGGCTGAGGGGATAGTGGCTCATTTTGCTGTAGTTCCGCTCCTACCTTTCCTGGTTTTGTTTTTGCTCACTGTTGTGCTTTACCAATATTTAGGGTGCCTGATTTAAAACTTTTTGATAACATAGCAATTCATTGCTGGTAATTACAATAAGAGAAGCAATAATATTAATAATAATACTTGTAATAATATAATTATAATTCTGGTATCAAAATACTAAATACATTACAATAACATAGTAAATACATCACAATAGACATAGTAAATTACATTCATTAGATCCTCCTCCCAAGTAAATAAATAAATAAATACATAAATAGTATTCATATATAAATAAACACTAGTATTTTCAAAAGATAAATATATAAATTTATACATAGTATTAATAAATCTATAATTACTATTCTTTTATTAGGAAGCAAATAACAATAGTTTCCTTCAGACTTGTATCCAATCTGAGCCTTTGCATTTAATTGGTGTATAGGGAATAATTAAAAAAGAAGAAGAAGAAGAAGAAGAAGGGGGGGGGGGAGAGTGATAACAAAATAAGGCTAGCAACTGGTTAAACAAAGAGGATAAATAATAAATTTGCTCCGTGGTTTCTTCATAGTGCCCTAAGGGTCCCTTGGGTCGTAGACAATACTGAGCTAGGCGGACCGCTTTGCGGTGTTTAGGCGCACAGTAGAGACATTTTGTTTTGGGAAAGTAATTTGTGTTCGCCCAGGTCTCACGTATAGTTGGTCATGGCTTCTGGAAGGGAACAACAGGCATCCTCTTCGGGCAATTTACAGGCACCTTGCGCAAGTAATGGTAGTGCGCAGGCGGGGGCCATGCCCTGTGACCCGCAGGCCTTTGCTCAATTTTTCCATGCCTTTGAAACATTCTATAGGCAATGTAGGCCCGGAGCTTTTGCGCCTCCTGCCCCCGACCCATCACAGGACGTAATACCAGATACCCCTCCTAGCAATCAAGGGCAGCTGGGAATGCCAGGTTTGGCGGGGGGCAGTGCCCATACAGAAGCGACCAATACGAGTCGTCCTAATACTCGTGCCCAAGCAGCCATTACTAGGAGGGCAAGCCAAAGCACGGGAAAAGGTAAGGCACCGGCAAAGGGCCCTGGCAAGGGTAAGGCTTCTGCCAAAGGGTTAAACACCAATGCCGTCTCACAGGCGGTAGGCATTCCTAGTGTGTTTCAGGAACAGCAACCACAGCAAAGCTCCACAGAGGACAGTGAGGGTTCTGGCTTAGAGGAAGAGCGCAGGGAACCCCAAGTTATTCACCCAGTGGCCGATGGGAATGCGGCCATCGCAGAGGTCCAGGGCGGCAAACGGAAGTCCAAGAAGAAGCACACGTCCGCTAAGAAGAAGAGAAGCAGGCAGTCCGAGACGGAGGACGAGTCAGGTACGTCATCTTCGGATTCGGACAGCGACGGCCCCATGGATGCCTACTGGGGTTTGGGGGAAGGGAATCACGGGATCCCACTTTGGGCGCACAAAAGGAGGGCCAATTCACATCGTAAAACGTTCAATGGAGTACTGGATTGGAAGGATGGGGCCTTGGTTGAGGATGTAAAGGTTGCCACCAACCAGTCCACTGATTTTATATTAGGGAATCATTTGTCACAGAAGAAGAGGAATAAGATCCTCAATGGTGATTATGTGGATATGTTTACCCTGCTCCCTCCCGCCAAACTAATAGGTAAAGGTGAAAAGAGGCGATCTTCAGGTAAAGGTAGATACAGGACCCCTAGGGCTGAGCGCACCTTTGAGAACTGGTTGGATGGGTACCAGGTTTTTATGGGTGTTGTTTGCGCTGCTTATCCTCAGAGATCCATGGATTCGGTTGCTTATTTAGCCCATGTGAGGCGGGCTCACTCGCTCGCGGGTGAGCATGCCGCTTTAACATATGATGAGAATTTCCGTAGAAATGCTTCCCTCCTACCTACCACCCGATGGGACCTTACGGACCCTAACTACTGGGGCGAGGATGTTAATCCCTACATTGAAAAGAAAAACAAGGGATCGATCAAGGCGGGTAAGACAGAGGTGAAGCGGCGTCGCCTCTGCTGGGAGTTCAACAGGGGTGTATGCTCGAGGCCCTCCTGTAAGTATTTACACGAATGTGACAGGTGCTGGGGAAATCACCCCGCCTCCTCGTGCTTTAAGAACAAACAGCAGCCCTTTCGGGGGGGCAGGGGGTACTTCCACAACAACAATAGAGGTGCCCCCGGATCTTCCCACCAGGGACCCAACAACTGCCAGTAACCTACATCTTGGCTTGGCCTTCTCCCCAGTTCGTCTCCAGCCCCTCAAAGCCCTGCTCGACCAATATACTAACCGCAAAGCCGCGCAATACCTTTGGGAGGGGTTTTCCGAGGGTTTCAGAATCCCAGTTGCTTTCCCTCCTAACACCGGGGATCCGCAAAACCAAAAATCAGTTAGGGAAAGTCCCGAGATAGTCAGAAAAAAGATTGAGAAGGAAATCAGGGCAGGCCGGGTAGCGGGCCCTTTCGCCAAGCCCCCCTTGGAAGGTCTTCACTTATCCCCCCTAGGTATCGTACCGAAAAAGACCCCGGGGGAGTTCCGTATGATACACAACCTCTCATACCCAAGGGGAGGTTCAGTCAATGACGCGATTCCCCCTGAGCTTTGTACAGTCAAATACGCCTCCTTCGACCAAGCAGTAAAAATGATTCGCAGATTCGGAAAAGGGGCGCTCCTAGCTAAATGTGACATCGAGTCGGCATTCCGCCTCCTTCCTGTCCACCCAGCCGACTTTCGATGGCTGGGCTTCAGATTCGAGGGGGCGTATTTCATTGACAAGGCAATGCCTATGGGCTGCTCCGTGGCTTGCTCAGCCTTTGAGTCGTTCAGTACGTTCCTTGATTGGGCTTTACGCTTTAGGACCTGCTCGTCGGGCGTGTCGCATTACTTGGACGATTTCATTTTAGTGGCAGAAGACAGGCAGCGATGCTCCGCCCTCCTGGAGGCCTTCACAGCCCTGGCCGGGGAGCTAGGTGTTCCGTTAGCCGCCGACAAAACAGAGGGTCCAGCCACGTCCTTGGTCTATCTAGGCATCGAGTTAGACACGGTCGCACAGACGTCTAGACTGCCCAGGAATAAATTGGATGCGCTAAAAGCGTTGATACAACAGCTACTGCCGCTAAAGAAAGTTACCCTTAGGCAAATTCAATCCCTGATGGGACACCTAAATTTCGCTTGCAGGGTAGTGTCTCCGGGTCGCCCCTTTTGTGGTCGTCTGGCCAGACTGTCTGCGGGGCTCAGGGCTCCTCAGCATAGGGTGCGCCTCTCTAAAGAAGTCAAGGCTGACCTTGGTATTTGGCTCCAATTCCTCGACAAGTACAACGGTATATCCTTGTGGCAGGATTCCATGGCACTCGGTGCCGATTTCCAGGTCCACTCGGATGCAGCAGGTTCATTGGGTTTCGGAGTTTATTTCAGGGGTCAGTGGTGTGCCCCAAATTGGCGTGCAGATTGGCGGGGTCACCCCATTACTCGGGACCTTACTTTTCTGGAATTTTTCCCTATCGTCGTAGCTGTGCATCTTTGGGCAGAGCAGTTCCGCAATCACAGGGTCTGTTTTAACACTGATAACCAGGCCGTAGTAGGGGTCCTCGCTAGACAGTCCGCACGCTCCACCAGGGTAGGAAATTTGTTAAGGTCCTTTGTCCTCCTTTGCCTAGAACAGAACATATATTTCTCTGCCAAATTGGTGCCTGGTAGTAATAATGACATTGCGGATGCGCTGTCTCGTTTCCAGATGGACCGCTTCCGCTCACTAGCCCCGGACGCGGAGCAATCATCGATGTCTTTCCCGGAGCATCTCTGGAGCCTTGGGAACAGGAAGTGATGAAGGGAGTATTCGGTGCAGTTGCCCCCTCCACAATGAGATCTTACACCAAGGCTTGGGCGGACTTTCTAAAGTTTCGTGGCAAAATGCCCAGATCTAAGCAGAATTCGATTCCATCAACTAGGGAGGTCCTCCACTATCTAACCCACTTAAAGGAGCTGGGCAGGGCACCAAAGACTCTCAATATTCAGTCCGCTGGGATTTCCTACTTCTGTAAAGCATTTTTTGCCACCGACCCGTGTGCACAGTTTATCGTGCGTAAGACTTTGGAGGGTTGGCGTCGGCAACACCCCCCTAGCGCTGACAAGAGGCGGCCCATAACTTTTGATATTCTGGTCCAGATTCACAAAAAGTTACGCGAAATATGCTGGTCCAAGTACGAAGCTCGCCTATTCTCTGCCGCCTATTCCATAGCCTTCTTTGGTGCCCTGCGCATTGGTGAGGTGGTTTGTGACGAAAGGGTTGCCCACGGGAAGAGAGGCATCCTCTTAAGCGATCTGACCCTTTCCGAGTCCGAACTAATAATTCAAGTTCGGAGCTCTAAGACGGACCAACGGGGTAGGGGGGCCCTCTTGCGGTTGCCAGCCACACGAGCGAGTGGCCCTTGTCCAGTGAGGGATATGCGGCGTTTTCTCTACCTAAGACCCAATGGGCCCGGCCCCCTGTTAATTCACGCGGATGGATCGCTTTTGGCCAGGCATCAGTTTACACGGGTGATGCGCTTGGCGTTGGCAGCATCCGGGCTCCCCGCGAGTGAGTTCGCGGCTCACTCTTTCCGGATCGGGGCAGCAACCACGGCAGTGCACATGGGGCTCTCGGCAGAGAGGATAAAGGACTTAGGGCGGTGGAAGTCTGATGCATACAAAGCCTATGTGAGAAAGAACCTTTGACTAGCGATCGTTCTCCTGACCTCGGTCTTTATGTCTATTTGCTTTCCAGATTACAAGCGGGTTCGCATTTGGTTGGTGGGCCACAGCATCGTGCACTGGGCCAAGATTCGCGCTATGTCTACCGGGTTGGGTCCAAACTTGAGCTTACCGGAAAATGTGGAGCTGCTGTGGATAGCGCGAAGGGGCATGCGCTGGAGCGAATTCAAGCCAGCTGATGGTCCTCCCGATGCTCTGGTTATCCAGTTGGGGGAAAACGACCTGGCGTACCGCAAAGCTATTGACTTGAGATGGAACATTTTTGACGATTTTGCTGAGCTGAGGGCGGCTTTCCCTAATACTGTCATCTTGTGGTCCTCGTTGCTTGAGAGGAGGACTTGGAGGGATTGTGTGAGCCCGGTCGGAATCAATAAGGCGAGAAAGGTCTTGGAACGGGCTGTGGAACGTAGAGTGGCGGCTCTGGGGGGGTGTGTCATTGGACACCCAGGTATCCAGTACAGCAACGAGGCCCTCTACAGATGGGATGGCGTGCATCTGTCAGATGCTGGAAACGACATTTGGCTTGGTGATATCATAGCAGGGATTAGGAGTTGGTTGCAGGTTTGAGGGTATTGGCGGCGAGCTTTGCTCGAGTGGCGGTTAGGCATTGGCAGGGGTTTATTGTTATGTAAATGAATGGGGGGGAAGGAAGCGCCATCACCTTCCCCCATGTAAAGGGTAGTCCGGTAGAGGACTCCGGGGGGCGTTGCCTTGTCCGAAACCTAGGGACGTAAGGGCCTCCGGCACGCCCCAGAGCGGTGACACCCGTGGGATCCTAGTTGGCGTACTTCAACAGGACTCCCACGGTTTGTGGTTAACCCTTCCCGGTCTGCTTACCGGGTAGACGTTAGGAGCCAATGCCTAAGGCCAATACCTTCAATTCTGTAATCAATAAAGTTGTGGCCTTTTTATGCCCACTTAACCTTATATAATGTGTCCAGTGTCTTCTTTTCACATGGGGGAGGGGTCTTGCCACGCAACCTTGCTTCTCTTAAAACTTTATTCATTACTTCACTTAATACAGGTGTTAAATGTTGTGATAATGTTTTATAATATTTTGCTGAAATACCTTCCAGTCCTGGGGCCTTCCCTATTTTCATTCTTTTTATTGCCTTCGTGATTTCTTGTTCTGTTATTTTCTGGTTAAGCATTCTTTTTTCTTTTTCTGAGATTTGATGTAGCTTGTGATCTTGGATGTAGTTTTCTATTCTCTTATTATCTTCTTTAGCTTTCCTATAGAGATCTTTATAGAATCTCTGAAATACTTTTCTAATTTCTTTCGGATCTTCAATCGTTTTATCCCCATATTTTATTTTACAAATTGTGTTCTGTTTTTGTCTTGCCTTTATTTGCCACACCAAGAATCTCCCAACCTTGTTGGCCAACTCAAAGTTCTTTTGTCTCATAGCTTTTATTTTCCATTCGACCTCCTGTCCCACCACCATGGAGAACTGAGACTGCAGCATTTTTATATTTTGCTTTATTGTTTCATCTTTCGGTTTTATTATTAACAGTCTCTCATTCTCCATGAGCTGGGACAGGATCTCTTCTTTCGTCTTCTCTCTTCCTCTTTTCTGGAAACTGTTTTTTTTTTAATCAGAAAGCCCCTCATCACTGCTTTGCTCGCATCCCAGACTGTTTCAATTGGTGTTTCTTTGTTTAAATTCCATTTAAAGTAATCTGTTATTGTCTCTTTTGCTCTTTCCACTACTCTCTGGTCATTAAATAAACTCTCATTCATTCTCCATCTATATGTAGAGGGGTCTTTCCCTTTTAGTTCCATATATAACGGGTTGTGGTCTGACAGAGTTCTTGGGAGGATCTCAATTCTAGTAACTCTTGGTGTTAAAATCTTAGAAGTCCAGATATGATCTATTCTGCTAAAGCTTTGGTTTGGCTCGGAGTGAAATGAAAATTGTTTTACTGTTGGGTTCCTAAGTCTCCAAATATCAATCAATCCCAATGTGTTGGCCATGTCAAAAAAGGCTTTCGGCAGTTTACCTTCATATGTATCCCGCCTCTTTGTTGATCTATCTAAATCCGGTCCCACCACTCCATTAAAATCTCCCAGTAATATCAATTTCTGATCCAGATGGTCTAATATTATTTCATTCAACTTTGTATAAAATTCAGCTTTCTTATCATTTGGTGCGTAAATCCCCACAATCAACCATTTCCCCCCTTGAACCCCAATTTGTACAATCAATATTCTTCCCTCGTCACCCTTAAAAATTATTTTTGGATCATGCTTCTCTTTTACATATATTACCACACCTCCCTTTTTGTTTGGGTCTGACGCGATAAACTCTTCACCCAGTATTTTATTACTTAAGATTCTTTTATTTTTTTTGCTACATGTGTTTCTTGCAGGCATATAATATCTAAATTTCGTTTAATCAAGACATGATTAATTTTATCTCTTTTATTTTTATTATTCAACCCATTAACATTCCAAGAAAATACTTTCAGATTCATTATTTCTTTTATCTAAAAGTTCTCACTCGGTTACGCTGAATTTACTGGTCTTTGTTGTTGTTTTCTTCTTCTGATTCTTCTCTCTCTTCCTCTTCTTCCTCCTCTTCTTCCTGTTGTTCTTCCTCTTTCTCCTTCTCCTTTCCTTCCTCCTTCTGATCCCGTCTTGGTTTTATTTTCTCTGTCTTCCCCAGATCTTTGTCATATCTTCTGGATAATTTTTCTAGCTCTTGAGGACTGCTTAATTTGAATCTTTTATCTTTAAAGTAAAAGGAAATTCCCTCCTTGAATTCCCACCTGTGTTGGATTCCCTTCTTTTTCAATAAACTCACCATTTGTTTATAAATGTCTCTTCGTCGCAAAAATCTGGCTGGGACTTCCTTAAAAATGAAAATTGTCTTTCCATCTATGCATAAATTTTTATTGTAGTTCAATCTCAATATTTCATTTCTTATGTCCATTGAATTGAACATAACTAAAACGTTCCCTGGAAGCTTTTTTGCCCTTGCTTTCACTGATCTTACCTTTATTCTAAAGACGTTCATTATCATTGATCCAATATCTTCTTCTCTTAGTTCCATCCACCCAGCCAGTTCTCTTATTATTTTAGCTCTTATGTTCTCATTTGCCATCGCCGGAATCCACCTAAATTTCAAATTTAATTGCTTTTGTCTCATCTCCAAAAGAAATAGCTTATCCAACATCTCTTCCTGTACCCTATTCATTTCTGTAATTTCTCCTCTAATTTGTTCTGTCTCTCTTTTTGCTTCCTTTAAATCTTTCTGTGTACGTTTCGCTGAGTCTTCTACAACCTTAGTTCTTATTTCCAAGTCTTTTACCTTCCCTGTCAACTCTCCCACCACCACTTCCAATTTTTTATCTAAGGCTTCCTGGACTTTCAGTAATTTTCTCTCTCTATATTGCTCATTTTGCTTAAATTCTTTCCTTATTTTCCCCCAATAAGCTCTCATACTCTCTACTTTCTTTTCCATTTTGTTGCCTAGATGGGCGTCTTTCTGCTGGGGTCCCTATTCCCTTTTTCCCATTTTTCCCAGAAATCTTAGATATATATTACACAAGATCAGTCAGTGCAATGTTCCAAAAAACCACCAGGGGTCGCATTTCCCCACCTTCTATACTTTTGAAGTGTAGTTTTTTTAGCTCCCCACACGGTGGCAGCACCTAGTCTGCTAGCTGCCTCGTCGCTCCCATCACTTCAGTCACTTTTGTCTTTCCTCTCCCCACGTCCTCAGGCACACAAAGAGCAGCAGAGCAGAGAGGCAAGCCCGGGAATCCTCAAACAGCTATCCCAAAGAGTAAAAGATAAGAGTTTGTTTGTAATCCCCCATACATTTTCTTCTCTTCTTCTGTCTTCCACCGCTTGTCGGTTCAATCCACAAGGTTATTTCAAACCACGCGCAGGGTTGTGTAAGACTCCCAGATACCCGAAGTGTAGTTTCCGGCTTCTTCTTCCTCCCGATAGCAATGAGGGGAAGGGGGGGTTAATTCCCCATTGTCTTTCTTTGTTCCTTTGATACTCCTTTAATACTGTTCTTAACCCCACAAGAGGCTGTTAAAAATCAATATGAAAGCCACCACACCATGCTTTTTCTATCATCAGAGTTCTCTTTATTTCCACAGTCCAAATCTTTTTTGCTAGCCCAGTGTGGCTGAAATCCTCTTCACTTAAAATGGAGGAGTGCTATGAGTAGTTTTGCAATTTGCCTCTGCCAGATAGAGACCCGTCCAGAGCCGATCAAAAGATACCTCCAATACTTTCCCCCCAGCAGTTATTTCAGTAGTAGCTTTGCCTCGACACTTTGTAGTTCGTGTTCAAGGGCTTGAAAAGTAACACTCACTCAGCGGAAACTTTCTTTCTCTTCTCCTTCCTCCAACCTTCCGTCGTGCGCCATTTTCTCCCAGTTGCCGGGACGGACTCCCTTTTTGCGCCCCGTAACTCGCCGAATTTTAAAGAGTTCAGAGTTTTAGAGCAATGCTTGGATTAGCTCCGCCAATTATAAGTCCAAATTCGTTGTTAATTTTGGAAGCTGGCCGCTTTCATAAGAAGCCTGAGACTTCACAATGCGGGTTTGAAGCTGCCCCCCCTTCGTGCCCGCAGCTCAATCCCGTCCCCAAGTCTGTTATTAAGACCCAGGGAGCAAGAGAGCACTTCTGGGCACCGCTGAGTACCACGTCCCTCAGGATCTCTTCCTGAGGTTCCAAGGTCCGCGTAGCCTTCGCAAAACCTCTCAAATAACCCCCACACCGCTCGAAACCCCCCCAGAGGGTTATCTCGCGCTTCTTTTCATGGCCGCGGCTCCGCCGGAAGTCCAATTAAAACAAATCTTAAAAGAGGTATCCATAAAGACCAAGCAGGGTTTTTGCCTGAACATCAATTAAAAGATAATGTGATACATATTGTAAACATAATAGAATACTTAGAGATTAGAAATGATAAACCAGCGGCTTTAATGTTTATTGATGCGGAGAAAGCTTTCGACAATGTTTCTTGGCAATTTTTGATGAAAAGTATGGGATTGATGGGAGTAGGGGGAGCTTTCATGAGGGGCATAAGGTAAAGGTACCCCTGCCCGTACGGGCCAGTTATGTCCGACTCTAGTGTTGCGCGCTCATCTCACTCAAGAGGCCGGGAGCCAGCGCTGTCCGGAGAAACTTCCAGGTCACATGGCCAGCGTGACTAAGCGGCATCTGGCGAGCCAGCACCAGCGCCGCACACGGAAGTGCCGTTTACCTTCCCGCTATAAAGCGGTACCTATTTATCTACTTGCACTTAGGGGTGCTTTCGAACTGCTAGGTGGGCAGGAGCTGGGACCGAACGACGGGAGCGCACTCCGCCGCGGGGATTCAAACCGCCGACCTTGCGATCAGCAAGTCCTAGGCACTGAGGTTTTACCCACAGTGCCACCCGCGTCCCATGAGGGGCATAGAGGCAATTTATTCCAAACAGAGAGACAAGTTAATTGTAAATAACGTTTTAACAGAGTCTTTTGATATTACTAAGGGTACCAGACAGGGGTACCCTTTATCCCCACTACGGTTTATTATGGTACTGGAGGTGTTAACCAATAATCTGAGAAAGATATCAGAAATAAGAGGCATTAAAATTGGAGTAAAATAATTTAAGTTAAAGGCTTTCGCCGGTGATTTAGTATTAACCTTAGAAGAACCACAATCAGGTTTTATAAAAGCAATGGAGGAAATTGAAGATTTTGGTAGATTTGCAGGATTTAAACTGAATAAAATAAAGACAAAAATGGTGGTCAAAAATATGGGAAGAAATGAGACAGAATTGCTGGAACAAAAGTGTGGAATCAAAGTGGTAAAGAGAGCAAAATATTTGGGAATTTGGCTAATGGCAAAGAATATTAATTTGTTTAATGATAATTATACGGAAAGAAATTAAAAGAGACTTAGATATATGGAATAGATTAAAATTATCAATGAGTGGCAGAATGTCGACGATCAAAATGAACATTTTACCAAAGATGATGTTTTTATTTCAAACGATTCCCATTATTAAAGGGTCAACACAATTTCAAGAATGGCAAAAAGTCCTGTCACGATTTATATGGCGGGGGGGAAACCCAGGATAAAATTTCAATTATTGACTGACAAGAAAGAAAGAGGAGGATTTACTTTATTATGAAGCATCTTGTTTGTGTTGGATAAAAGGCTGGATATTATTGGAGAATACGGACCTGCTGGATTTAGAAGGGTATAACAACAGATATGGATGGCACTCCTATCTTTGGTATAATAAAGTGAAAATACATAGAGGATTTGTAATTCACATAATAAGGGGTGCTTTATTTGCAAGATTTATGTCTTTCTCCGTCCGGCCGCTTCTCCTGCGCAAGCTCTGAGAAATACGACCTAGGTAGAAAAACAAATTGCAGAGATGCAGCAGTCGTTCGTGTGAGAGCAGAGGGAGTGAAAATAGTCCAGGCACGGCTTCTTCTATCTAAAAGCTTTATTTACAAGCAAAGCAACACATTCCATCAGAGCTAAAACACATCGTGTCTTTCTCCTTTCGCTCCCGGAGAAAAGTGAAACCAAACACACACAGAACAAAGAACTGTGACGTACAGTGCAGCATCGCATGAACGCTCCTGCCCCCAGAGCAGAACACAAGGAGGTTAACCCTATAACCACCATACTCTACACCCCCTCTTGTTCCGCACTGGGGGGGAAACAAGCACCAATGCTTACCCGAAACCCAGACCTTCACAGAACTCTCCATGCCGCTGGAAGGTTAGTGGTTTCGTGAAACCATCAGCGAGGTTCTTGGCTGAGGGACAGTACTTCAGCACAACCAATCCCTCCTGAACACTCTGACACACATTCTGGAAGCGAATGTCTAGATGTTTTGTCCTGGCCTTAAATTGCCTCGATTCAGCCAATTTCAGGCATGGTTGGTTGTCCTCGAAAACCGTGATGGGCAAACAATTCAATTCACAGAGCTCCTGGACCAAACAAGCATAGAACTCCAACTCTCTGCACACTTCAGAAAGTGCACTGAACTCAGCCTCAGTGGATGAGAGTGCTATGAGACTTTGCTTTCGGGACCTCCACCCAACTACTGAGTTCCCAAACTTCACCACTAGGCCGGACACGGACTTGCGATCCTGAAGATTAGCCCAGTCCGAATCCACCCAAGAGGTCAGCTTGACCTCACCCTGAGCTGACAAATTAAGGCAAAAATCTTTGGTATCCTGCAGATACCGCAGTACCCTCTTGATGCCATTCCAGGCCTGTACACTAGGACTTGAAGCCTCCCTGCTGAGCAGATTGATAGCAAACGCGATGTCTGGTCTGCTCCACTGGGACAAATACAGCAAACTACCTAGAGCTGACTGAAAGATGTCAGCATTTTCGAACACAGCGCGTTCTGCTTGCTGGCTTTCTTTCACGTAGCCAGTCTCCATAGGACTTCTGACACCTGCACAATCACTCATCCTGAACTTCTGAAGCAGTTGCTCAATTTTGCCTCTCTGGCTGAGCAAAAAACTTCCATCTTCTGTGCGTGACACATCCACGCCCAGATACGTCTGAACAGCTCCAAGCTGCTTGAGCTTGAACCTTTTGCCAAGCTCCTTGGCGAACTTTTCTACCTGCTTACCTGTCTGTGCAAGGTATAAAAGATCGTCAACAAAATTAAAAGCACTTCCTGTGTCTCACCTGACCCCTTCAGGTACAGGCAACTATCAGCAACACTTCTCCTGAAACCTAGCTTCTCTAAGGCTTCATTCAGGCACACATTCCAGTTCCTGGCAGATTGACGCAATCCATAGATGGATTTATGCAACCGCCACACAATGCCTTGCCCATTGATCTCAAACCCTGGAGGAGGAAGCATGTACAACTCTTCCTGGAGATCTGAGTTCAAGTAGGCAACATCCACATCAAAGTGGTTTACCTTCCATCCTCTCTGTGCCGCAGAGTTTCACTTCTGGAAGTAGGAGAATACACTTCCGTGAAATGAATCCCTTTCCTCTGTGTGAAACCCCTGGCAACTAGCCTCGCTTTGTACTGTGATTCTCCAGCTTCTGTGGGTTTAAGGCGATAAACCCATCTGCAACTCACAGCCTGCTTGCCAGCCAGCAACTGTGTGAACGAGAACACACCCAGAGATTCAATTGATCTCATCTCTTTCTGCATTGCCTCATGCCATTTGCTGGCTTCCTCCTGAGGCAACTTCTGAACATCCTCAAATGTTTCAGGCTCACATCTAGCCACACCAACCCACACACTAGTGGCCTCGAACCTGTCAGGAGGCTTGCCCTTCGTTGACCTCGCTGACTTCAGTGTGAATCCTGGAACCCCCTCTGACCCACTAGTGCCAGCAATACCATCCTCAGTGTCAGAAACTTCCCCCTCTGACCTGCTGCGCCTTTTGAACCTGACAGCCGGTCCTGCAGGTGAGGAAGGCTCACTCTTTGGCTCAGGCTTGACAGTGGTTTGAGGAAGTGTTCTGGGCCTCCCCCTCTGAGGGATCCTGAGCTGCCCCTGTTGTGGACTCTGTCCCTGCGGCGGACTCTGTTGCTCTGGACTTTGGTCCTCAGCAACAGGTTCTTCTACCTCCTCCCCATCTGAGTCAAAGAACTGCTGTGAAAGCACGTCTGGGTTACCATGGAGACGCGTCCACCCAGCCTGTTCACAGAACTCAGCACTGTTTCTGATTACCAATCTAGACTGATTCCCACTCGGATATGCAAAACGCCAAGCTTTTGAGCCAGGTTCATACCCCACAAAGATCATTTTCTTGGATCTTGGCTCACCCTTCCTGCGTAGAGCCTTTGGGATGAGGACCCAGGCCTCACAACCAAACACACGTAAGAAATGCACCTTGGGCTTCTTACCGTGCAGCAGGAAATAGGGTGTGTCCCCTACCACTGAATTGAACGCTCTATTCTGTACAAAAATTGAAAATCTCCAGGCTTCGGCCCAAAAGCGCTGGGGTAGCCCTGCATCAAAAAGAATGGCAGACACTGATTCCTGCAAAGTACGATTCTTCCGCTCCGCAATTCCATTCTGTTGTGGACTGTGAGGCGCTGTCAGCCGGTGGCTGATTCCCTTCTGTTGGAAGAAATTCTGCAATGCTGACCCAGTGAATTCTGCCCCCCTGTCACTTTGAAAACTTCTCACCTTGGTGGAGAAGGTCACCTCAATTGCTGTGATCCAATCTTTGATCAACCCAGCAGCCTCCCCCTTAGTTTTTAAAGAAAAAACCCCAAGCAGATCGAGAAAAATCATCAATTAGGAGAAGAACGAACTTCGAACCCCCCAGGGACTCTACAGACATTGGACCACACAAATCTGCATGAACCAACTCAAAAGGACTAGTGGTCTTCCTGTCTGACCTAGGATAACTGCATGTGACAACCTTCAATTGCTTGCAGGCTCTGCAATCCAGGAACCTGTCACAACTCTTAAATTTGCACCCTTCAGTTAGCTCTGGGGCCTTTTTAACATAACCCCAATTTGTGTGGCCAAATCTTCGATGCCATAAATGAGCACAACCACTATGTGGCGCTACATTCACACATTGCACCCTTGCTTCCTCAGTGGCATCATCAGCAACAATTGACATCTCAACAACAAACAATCTGTTCCTGCATTCCACAGTATATAGCTCCTTGCCGTCCCTGGAAAAAGAACACATGTTATTAGCAAAAGTTACACAGAAACCATCAGCAATTAAAGCAGATACACTTAACAAACAATTTGCGATCTCTGGAACAACATAGGCTTGAATCTCATGATTGAGAAAAGAACAGTACAACATTCCAGTCTGTGTCAGTGGCCATTTACTCCCATCAGCTAGGCTAGGGAATCAAAGCGATCAGTTTTTACTTCCTTGCAGTTCCGAAGAAGGCCAGCAGAGGGAACGAGGCAATGTGTCGCTCCAGTGTCCACGATGAGAGACAAAACAGCTGGCTGGCACTCGTCCAACGTTGCCATAGAAGCAGCACTCTCCCCCTGGCTGGGGGACTTGCCAGTGTCCTTCACGGTTCCCATAGCTGCAGCTCCGCCCTCAGCAGGGCCTCTCCCGGTGTTCTCACGCTCCGCCGTCTGAGAACCGTCGCTTATCTGGCGTCCTGGCAGCTGCATGACCTTGAATCCCTCAGCAGAACAATGCCTCTTGCAGCCTGACTTCGACGCTTGGCAAAAACAACTTTTGGAGACAAAGGCTTGCTCAGAGCTTTCACTTCTGCCTGCACCCCCACTCTTGGGTGCGGGGCTTCCAGAGGAACAGTCTGCCACTGCTTTCCTCCCAGCTCTCAGCCTCTCTCCCAGCTCATCACACAGATGTGTTGAAGCATTGCAGCAGCATCCAGAAACAGCTATTTCAGCCCTCACTAGGCTCCCAAGACTCACTGCCCTCTCAGGGCACGATTCTGCCCCCTCTGGTGTCACTTCAGCCCCCTCTCGGCCCTTGGCTACTACCCCAGCCTCACATGCCTTCTGTAGCGCCTCCCAAGCGACCCTGGGCTCTTTGACACGCTCCAAGAGTGGCAAAAGACAAGCATCAACACTTGCTTTAAAAATTCCAAGCACACACTGCTCCATCTCTTGAGCAGCAGCCATTTTTGCCTCAGCTTTCCCACTAGCTGCAGGCGGTGGGGGGTGCACACACGACCATAGCTGTTCACCCAGCAACAAGTAGTTCATCCGAACAGACCACTCAGGCCAATTATGTCCATTTAGTCTTTCAAAAGGAACAAACACATTTTCTTGGGGCTGAGCCATCTTTCCCCTCCCTTCTGTGGCTTGAGTATACTCACTCTTTCTGCCAACCAGGCTCCAAAGACTTGGCTCCCCTCTTCACCAGCGACCTCAGAACGACCTTTGTTTTCCTGGCAGGAGATCACAGCTGGCAGCCGTCTGATCCTCCCTTCTCACACTTAAAGCATCGTTCGCCATAACCTTTGCAAGATTTATGTCTTTCTCCGTCCGGCCGCTTCTCCTGTGCAAGCTCTGAGAAATACGACCTAGGTAGAAAAACAAATTGCAGAGACGCAGCAGTCGTTCGTGTGAGAGCAGCGGGAGTGAAAATAGTCCAGGCACGGCTTCTTCTATCTAAAAGCTTTATTTACAAGCAAAGCAACACATTCCATCAGAGCTACAACACATCGTGTCTTTCTCCTTTCGCTCCCGGAGAAAAGTGAAACCAAACACACACAGAACAAAGAACTGTGACGTACAGTGCAGCGTCGCATGAACGCTCCTGCCCCCAGAGCAAAACACAAGGAGGTTAACCCTATAACCACCATACTCTACACTTTATATGATGTTTGGGACAGGAATAGAAATTTATTGGAAAGAAGCACACCATGGTGGATATCCTCGGTGGAAGTGTTGACAGTAAGAAAGCTGAATATGGAGGGGAGGAGGGCAACTTATGAAGAAATTTTAATGAGAACAGAGAAAGGATGGAAACTGAAACACTATAATTGTATAGAAAATGCATTTACGGGATGGTAACAATATCATCAAGTGAATGATATACTTAAAGAGGACAAGAAAGTGGGATTCAGTGAAAAGAAGCCAAGATATCAGATTGAAATATTAAAAGGCAGGTCAAAACTTTTATCAGAAATGTATGATTATTTATTGGAATGGAACACAAAAGATGAATTGACAAAAGAGGTAATGATAAAATGGGCAATTGACTTTGGGTACAATATTGAATATGATACTTGGGTAAAATTGTGGAACGAAGGTCTGAAATTCACGGTGTGTACTACCCTAAAAGAAAACATAATGAAAAAGATGTACCGCTGGTATATTACTCCTGTCAAACTAGCAAAAATGTACAGAGTGAGCAGTAAGGTATGCTGGAAATGTAAAACGAAAGATGGAGAGTTTTTTCACATGTGGTGGCCATGTGAAAAGATGGGGGGGGGGAATCCGATATGATTTACAATGAATTGAAAAAACTATTTAAATATACCTTCCACAAAAAACCAGAAGCTTTTCTGCTGGGGATGATAGGTGACGAATTAAGAAAAGCAGACCATAGATTATTTATGTATGCTACGACTGCTGCCAGAATCTTAGTAGCCCAAAAATGGAAAACTCAGGAAATACCAACATTAATGGAGTGGCAGACAAAAATGGTGGAATATGTAGAATTAGCAAAACTGACCCACAGGATCCATAACCAAGAGGAAACAAAGTTCAAAAAGAAATGGAGTAAATTTGTTGAATATATAGGTAATAACTGTAGAAGTTTAAAGACTGTAGCAGGATTAAAATAAATCTTGTGATGTGTATAGAATGTAATTAAGAATCTGTGAAAGAGAAAATTTAATACGAAAGCCGGATGAAGGGAGGGAGGGAACTCCGTGCGCGACAGAGCGTGTAGTAAATAAGTAGACACAAAATTGTTTGAACTTTAGAGTATTTCTTTTGTTTGTCTATGTTACAGAAAACTCAATAAAAAGCATTTTTTTAAAAAGAAACTAATTTAAGCAGGCATACATTCTGGGGTAAATAAAACAGAACTAAAAAGGAAGAATGCATTCAGCAAACCCGGAGGTCATAAACAAGCAGTACAGGAAGGAAGGATGGGTAGTATTCACCATCTCTTGGAAGGATGGCAGTATTTACCATCTTCCTGTGAACCCTCTTCCTGGCCCTTAAGATCTATCTAAAGATTAAACTACATCAAAGTAACTGCCTGCTATCTTTATGAACTGAGGGTACCTGATGAAGCAACTGGCAACTGGGCTGTGTATTTAGAATGCTTATACGTGCTTGTCAGACAGAGAGAAATGGGCAGTAGAGAAAATGGCCAGAAATGCAGAGGCTTGTGGGATTTGATCAGAAATTATTGTCAATGAATCGAACCCAGTCAACGCCATGCTTTCATAGCGGACACAATGGCTTGATGCATATTTTATAATTCCTCATAGTAATCCCATCTGATCCCCACACTCTGGATATTTGTACTCCTACAATTGATGAAAGATTGGAAAACTGCTGTCCCATTTTGCAGCCCAAAAGGCATGACTAGATACTCAAACGACCCAAAACGTGTACAAAAGGTGGTTTCCACTCACCCCCCTGTTTGATTCTTATCAGATTATATGCCCCCTGGAGGTCAAGCTTGGTAAAGATCTTGGCCGACCTCACTTTCTCCAATAGGTCATCTATACGTGGCAGGGGGCACCCGAGGGGTCTCATTTGGGAGTTTAGCCGGCAAAAATCGCATACGAGCCTGGCTGCTTTGCCCCCTTTCTTTTTCACAAAAAACACTGGGGAGCCCCCTGCTGCCATGGACTCTCTGATGTCCAAGTTCTTTTGGAGGAAGTCCCTCAGTGCTGAGCACTCTGCCTCTGACATGGAGTATATTTTACTTGGGGGTAGTTGAGCCCCGGGGACTAGATCTATCTGGCAGTCATAGGGCTGGGGGGGGGGCAATTGGCCAGCCTCTTTCTCACAAAAGACGTCTCTATAGGCTGCATACTGTGGGGGGATTATACTTTCTTCACCCATGAGTTTCCCGTCCACCTCTGCCTGCATCCTTCCCACCTGGGTCCCCCCTCCTCCTGGCCCAAACAGTGCTTCATACAGTATGCTGAGCCAAACACTAAGGACCTTTGACCCCAGGCTATCATCGGGTCGTGGCGGGTGAGCCAACTCATGCCCAGCACCACAGGGTGACCAGCCAGCTTAGTCACATGGAAGGCTCTGGTCTCAGAGTGATGGGCTATTTCCAACTTCATTGGAGGCGTCTCATAAGCCACTTCACCGGCCAATAGTGGCCAATTCACTGGCCAATTCAGAGAGCCAGTATGGTGTAGTGGTTAAGAGTCTCGTAATCTGGGGAACCGGGTTCGCGTCTCCGCTCCTTCACATGCAGCTGCTGGGTGACCTTGGGCCAGTCACACTTCTTTGAAGTCTCTCAGCCCCACTCACCTCACAGAGTGTTTGTTGTGGTGGAGGAAGGGAAAGGAGAATGTTAGCCGCTTTGAGACTCCTTAAAGGGAGTGAAAGGCAGGATATCAAATCCAAACTCTTCTTCTTCTTCAGTAGAGGTCTGCTGTCGATCATCTTTACGCGCAACGGGAAACTCAAGGGCATTAGGGCTATCCTGTGCTCTTGCACCAAGCCCAGGTCGACAAAATCTGCTGATGCTCCCGAGTCCAAAAGCACGGGGACTTCTATTCGATGACCA